GCTGCACTGACTCTCAGTACTGACTGATTCATGCTGTACAGAGCATTAAAGGGCATCAGTACGCTCACTTCAACTGACACTGTTTCTAATGCTAAAATAAGGCCTCACATGTGTTTATCATTTTACATAAAATGCATTCTGCTGTTAAACACCTGATCAGCATTGATATATCACTGGGTACACCCATGCTGTATATGAATGTATTTCTAAATTTTAATAAATTTATTTTGGATATTTAATAAGTGGATACATTTATATTTGAAAGTGAAGATGCTACATGACACTATGGCCACAAAATAAATGTCTTTTTTTTTGAATGGTGTCTTTTTTGCAAGGTTTTTTTTTTCCATGTGCAGACAAATTGCAAACACTTATTAGAAATGGTGCTAATGAATCAAGATTATGTCACAATATCACAGCTTTTTAAATTAATGCCATTTTAGTGTTTGCTCTTTCTTGTTCCTCAATTATTTTTTATTTTTTATTTTTTATTTTCTCATGCTGCCTTTAGGGGTCGCCAAAGCGGACCATCTGCATCCATCTCTGTCACACCAACTATGTGCATGTCTTCCTTCACTACATCCATCCAATGAAAATTTGAACATGAGCTCGAAAACACAATAACGTTTATAAAACATTATTTGACTTGATGCTTCCATAAACACAGCAAACATACAGAAAATAAAATTAGAAATCAAACCGAATCCATGAATTTAACCTGGTAAAGGCCCGTGTCTGTATGGATTCTGTTCAGGTTTTCTGGCTTACTCCCACAGTCCAGAGCCATGCATGTTAGATTAACTGGTATCAAAAAATTGACCCTAGCTGTGAGTGTGTGCATGTGTCTCTCAGTCCTGCGATAGACTGGTGACCTGTCCAAGACAGCTGGAACAGGCTCCAGCCCAATCACAACCCTGAATATGGAAGAACATGGATGGACGGAAAATCTCAGCACTGATATAACAGGCTGCCTGACAGAAACTACGATGCCTTGGCATGAAAACACTTCATCCAGCTTTGTCCATATATCCTGTTTTGGGGGAAATTACTAGCTGAGCTGTTTAACGTGTGAAGCTGTCCACAAAAGGTAAGAAAGGGTCAGTGCCATAATAGATATTATTATAGATATTATTATAAAGCAGTCATCTTATCAACCAAATCAAAAAACCAAATATATTGTTTGCTGCTTGTTTTAGTAAAGTTTTAATTTTTAATATTTTATTTGGACACGCAGGAGACGCCAAATCATTGCACTTCCACGTTTTAAATCCAGGGAGCAGCATAGAGTGTTTTCTTCTCATTTTTTTTTAAATTTCTGGTGCGCGTTTTGTCCTGTCTGGCTTGCCGTAGATACCCGGTCTTGTAGGTCGGGCATGCCCGTGAACCATCCCCTGCGAAATCCTCTGCCAGCGCCTTCAAGAGAGCGATTAACGTTCGCTTACAGAGATATGTGACACATACTGCATTTAACGTTGTCTTTCTGTCCAGCGGATAAGCAATAAGTCCAGCAGAAGCGTGCGGAAAATTGCGAGCAGGACCCGAAAAGTGTCCGTCCGTTTTGTCCTACAAAGGCGCGGAGTGTTTGACAGCGGCAGGGCCCAACGGTAGTTAACTGCCTGAGAAGGAGGACGGCATCCAGAGGTCTACATGAAACAATAAAGACGGTCCTCTGTGCAGGAAAACAAGTGCCAACATGAGGAAAGACGTGAGGATACTCCTTGTAGGGGAGCGTAAGTAGCAACTTCTTTAATCTTCACTAGCTAATATGCTAGTAGCTACAGCTACTTTCTATCAGTTACATATCGTGTGATGAGCTGTGAGAGTCAGCGGAATAGCTTCATTA